CTGACTGTCCTCCAGTGGGCGTCCCCAAGTCAGCCATTGGATGGACGGCAGGTGGTCCCTCTCTTCTTCGGGTATACTCCGGGGTGGCTCCGTCGATGGCGGACAACGGAAACTTGTCGTTGTTCGCCATGGATGGCGATCAGATGAACCTGGAAGACAAGGTTTTGTGTAGTACATGATCTCGACCGAGCTTCCCTGATCGATCAAGATCCGTCTAACATCAAATTCTTTGACGCGTAGTGTTACTACAAGAGCATCGTTGTGTGGCGTCTGGATACGCTCTAAATCCCTTGAGGTGAAACTAATCACATCATTCTCCTCTGTCTTCCCCCTTTTGATGGCAGGCTGTACTGACAAAACTTCCCTCATATGCTCTGCCTTCTTGATCATGCCCCGGAGTTCGCAAACGCGCTCCGGTTCCACGATGCCGTGGATGACATTAATAACTCCTTGTGGTGGTGCATCTCGGTCATCCTGTCCCCTGGGATCGACCGGAGCCTGATTCGGTTTCACGCCGCCATCAATGTAAAGGTCCAAATGCCCGGTCGCAACCAGTTCTTCCAAGTGTTGTCGCAAAGGCAAACAATCCTCAGTCCGGTGGCCCCTCTCCCGGTGAAACGTACAACGATACCGCGGATTGTAGCCCTTTTGTCCATCGCCCAACTTAGCAGGAAACCGGACATACTCCTCGTCTCGGATTTCACTAAGTATGCGATAGATTGGAATCTTGAAGATCGTGGTTATGCCAGTCCTTGCCTTCATTCTTCTGTTTGTGTCCTCAACGTCATCTCGGGGGTAATCATCCCGGTCACTCCGATGTCCTCTACCCCGGTTTTTTCGATTTGAACCACGGTCTGATTCCTCTGCCCGGTCATTTGAGCGGTTGGACTCTTGCCCAACTGCGTGCACTTTACCTGCTGTCTTCTTGTCTGTTCCGACCGGAGTGGCCTTTACGGTGGAAGCCGACGCATCATCCTCTACTCGGATGTGCTCATTGATGCGCTGCATGAGCTGGCCCATGGAGGTCGGTTGGTGCATGGTAAGCGAGTCCCGCAGTCTATGTCCGACCGGGAGACCACGCTTATATTGCGTGATTGCAAGGTTGACCGGGCAATCCAGGATCTCGTTGAAGGTTTCCCAATACCTTGAATTGTATGCCTTCAGTGTGTCGCACGGTTCCATCTTGACACTCAGCAAGTGATCGACTTCCTTTGGCGTTTTTGTGTTAGTTTTGAAGCGCGTAACAAACGCTTCGGCCAACCGATGCCACCGTTGTATGCTCCCTTCCGGCAACCTCTCAAACCACTTTAAGCCCAGCTCATCTAAACTGGATGGGAAGATTAGGCACATAAGTCCGTCATTTCGCCTATGTCCGGCCATGACCTGACGGAAGTGGCTCACATGCATATAAGGATCGGTTTTGCCGTCATAGAGCGTGAACTTTGGCTGGTGGAAGCCTGCCAGAAGCGGTGTTGTTTCTATTTCCAGGGAAAATGGGGTGGCACTCAGCCTGGCCAGGTCTGTATCTTCAAATATTGGCACTGCTTGGCGGGGTGGAGGCATTCCGACCTCCTCACTGGCGTGAGCCCCGTAGGAGAGCCGCTGGAAAGCTGGTATTCTCTGAGCTTCGCGCCGGCGAGCCCGCTCCCTTAACACTGCCCGTAGGTCCTCTGACTGAGCAGAATAAGAGTACCTCGACGTCGTCGCCGGACGTGAGGGTTTGTAAGTGCTGTCTTGCGCGCTAGACTCTTCTGCACGCATGTCGGAATCACCAACCTGGTAACTCCTGGTGATGGAAATTGACTGTGTACGTCGCTGACTCTGATCGCCTGACCGGCGGGATGGGGTGCGCTCACTGTGGTCTCCCACTCCAGCTACACCTTTCCCTTTGACATGCCGCTTAAGATCCTCCATCTCCGCCGCCATCCGCCTGATGACAGCGTCTTGGTCCCTCAACTTGCTTTCCAGTCGCCTGGCGTGTGAGTCTCTCCGCCGGTGACCGTCTGGACTCCGTGAATGCCCATGACTCCTTCCGCGCTTATCCCGCGCGTCTCCTGACTGCCCTCCAGCAGGCGTCCCCAAGTCAGCCATTGGGTGGACAGCAGGAGGTCCCTCTCTCCTTCGGGTATACTCCGGGGTGACTCCGTCGATGGCGGACAGCGGGAACTCGTCGTTGTTCGCCATGGGCGGCGATCAGACGAACCTGGAAGACAAGGTTTTGTCTGAAAAGCTTCCCACAGATGGCGCCAATTGTGCGGGGAGCAAATATTTCAGCGTGCCCGCATTCCTTTCTTCCTAGCTCCGTCGACGTCCGATCACCTGTGAGCAAATAACGGTGAGCTACCCGGCGGTGTGTGGCCGGAAAAACCCTCCGACGATCAAGTTAGCACACACCTTAGGATGGATAGAGAGAAGGGAGAGAGTGTTTGAGTGTAAAAAATCCTTACAGATATGTTCGTGTGTCGCGTATGGGGGGCGCAGACATGCTTATATACCTTCTGAGCCCCATATCCACTCCCTGTCATCTCCTGACACGTGGCTCTGCTATCCCATCTGTCAGCATAAACCATGCCATTCATCACCTGCTCTCAACTGCCTGTCAGCACAGCTGGAGCTCGGCAGCCGAGCTGCCCTTCCTCGGTCATACCATGCTTCATACCTCAAGCGCCTAACCGGATAGACACACGGAGGACCGGGCTACGCGGCATCCCGGCCGAACCTAGCCCGGATACTTCGATCGGCCTTCTCGCCGACCATACAGTCTCCTCGGCTGACCATGCCTTTCCGGGCACCGGCCACTCAACTTCCTCGGTTGTCCATGCCTTCCTGGCGCCGGTCACTCGGTCGATCCGGCTTTGGCCATCCTCGGACCGGACACCTTGGTCCGACCGAGCACTGCCTTACCGAGCAGTTTCTGTCCGGTCCGGGGTGACACTCAGCCCGTACTCTGCCCGGCCGAAATTCTGGCGGCCCACTTTGGGTAAAAAGTCGATCGTCTCGGACCTATGCACCGTTGGGCCCTCAACTTGCTCGGTCGATATCTCGGCCCAACTCCAGATCATAAATTACCCTCTCACTATATATGGATAATACTCTGTCCCAGCTATTCTACACACATTGCGGACTAACTAAATAAATCCATTTCAATTAGTATATTGTCATATGTCACACCACACCAGTATGCATGACAATTCTCTTGCAAAGTGCTTAAACATCACCTCATTTTTTTTTAATTAAATCTTGAATATGTGCTTATGATCAGATGCAGAATGAAGGGAATTCTTACAAGGATGTAATTTTCTCTTTTGTTGTAAAATTGGGAGAAGAATTATATACTATTTGTGAACAAAATTCAAGACTTTTTGTCATATAAATGAGATTTGATTTGTCCTTTTCGTGCCTTCACAGAGAAAAAAACTAACAGCAATAACAATAACAGGATGAAAAAACATTGATTCGGGCAGTAGTTCATTTAGCCAAGATGCAGCCCTCAAAACTAGAAATGCATAGATAACAACTGTATGACCTTCAAAGATTGGCCTTAAACTGATGTGGATATGGCTTCTCATTTTATAGAAATAAAAAATACAACGCATGACATGTAGGCCAAAAAAACAAAAGAAAACAAAGCAGGAAGAATTTGACAGCAAAACAAGAAAATTTCCAAACACAAAACATGCATTATAAGTACCTCTGCATGCACAGCTACCAGTGTATGCAGTAACTCTACAGCAGCATCTCGCACACCCTGCAAAGTATTAGCAATTTGACTAATTGTTGAGATAAAATAGTGTGCACCAGAGAAGGCGTTGAAAGAAGAAAAGAACCGATAATTTATTTATCACCTTGACTGCAGGTGCTCCCCCCCCATTGAACTCCTGAATCCAATAAATAGTTCATGGCTGCTGTTCTAATCAAATTTGTGAACCGAAAAAAGGTAAGAATGCTGAGTTAGAAGGGGAATACTGAGCTGGAAGGCCCATATATTTAGGAAGGTCACAGTAACAAAGCCTGTCTCTGGTTTTCTATAGGGCAGAACACTGTAGAAGTAAACATCAAACAAAAGAGAGGTTGCAAATGTGAATTCTTTGTGTAATAGTTCATTTCAAAAACAAACAAACAAAAAAAAAAAAATCAAAGATCTACTCCTCAAAATCACCAATCCTTCTCTTGACAACCGACAGTGCTTCCTTTATAATTTTAAAACAGAGCTGGAGGCAAATTGTAAACTAAAAGGAAAAAAGGGATGAAAATATTAAATTTAAGAACTCTAATAGAAACTCAGTATTGAGGCAAGTAGCCTGACAGTTGATATCTTCCATCCAGTATACACCTATATACAACAATGGTAAGACAACTAGAGAATTGTGCCATTACACTAAAGAGAAGCAAAAAATTTACGTACTTATCCAACATTCTCTCAACGATTGCCTCCAACCGAGGGTCCATTTTGTTTTCATCATTTGACTCTGCCACCTTTGACTTGAGACTGGCATATTCATCAATTGCTTTAGCTGAGTGAAGATAGAACATGGCCAGCAATAATTAGGAAGGCTACATTGAAAAAGTGTTAATTTCATCCATATAATTTCACAAGTTAATATCAACTATCAAAACCATGATGGACATTATACAATCAACATATATCAGGAGTTGATATCTAGCTTAGGCTTTCACAGATTGCATTTACATGTAACCAATTCGAGGGAAGCCAATAATGAATAATAAGCAGATCTTAAAACCTCAAAGTAAACATGGAAGTATGTTCAAAAAAAAAAAAGAGGAGTAAACATAGAAGTTTTCATGTTGGAAAAGAATGGATGCAAGGTTATTTATCAAAAAAAAAAAAAAAAGGATGCAAGGTGAAAATTCTTACCAAGAAGGGTATGAATGTAATCTGAACCCTTAGAAACATCAAACAGAGGACCAGCTCCCAGAGCATACGATAAAGAGTCATTGAGTTCACCCAAGTAATAATAAACCTGCCAACAAAAACAAAAGAATTTGTGCAACAAAGATAATAGTTACTAGGGGTGGGCGCAGGTCGGCTGCGGCCACGAAACCTTCAATCCGCCATCCGTCCGCCAAATTGGCAGATTAGAGAAAATCAATCCGCATCCACCCGCCACTCTAGTGGATGCGGATTGAGCTGATTGGCGGATTGGCGGATGGATGCGAATCGGTTTAGCGGTTTAAAATTTTAATCTTTAACGTAATTCAACATGCGAACGTCCTCAAAAAAAAAAAAAAAAACAAAACAAAACAAAAAATGTGGACTTCTCTCCTCAATCACCACTTGTGTGCAATGTATATACAAACACTGTGCACTGTGCAGATAAATAATTCTTGACTTGCATAAATAATTCTTATTTCTTGTACCAAGAATTCCTACTGGTTCTGTAATGGAGTTGAAAATGGGGAATTTTTCTGGTTCTGTAATGGAGTTCAAAATAAGAACACTTGCAGATAAGTTCTGTAATGAACTTGCAGATAAGTTCAAAATAAAAACACTTTCAGATGCGTTCAAAATAAATTCTGTAATGAACTTTTCTGGTTCACACATAAGTTCGTCAAACCAAAATAAAAACACTTGCAGATAACAACTATTTCATCAAATAGATTTCATTAAAAAATTGTTCATGCATTCTATATTTTGTTCATTATAATAAGTTTGAAACATTTCATCAAACAACTAGTGGGCATCAAAAAAAATAAAAAAAAAATACCCATGCAGATAACAAGTTAACAACCCAGAAATCAAATACAAGCCAGAAACAAGCAAGTCATTGCAGAAAAATTAAAAAAGCAAGAGATCATGAGAGTTTCCATGGATTGTGAGATAAATTATAGGTACACAAATAATGAGTCAAACAGTGTAATGAACAGACAATATTAACAAATACAACCAATACAAGAGAAGAACAAATAAAGAGAGAATTCAAAAGAGGACTTACTGATAAAACGAACTTGCTCTCACTCTGTCGGACTGAAAATTTAGGGAGAGACAGAAAAGGAATTTGTAATTAGGTTAAGAACACAGAACATAGAACACAGGTTGAGAAGAGAAGAAGATGGGGAAAATAGAACAAGAGAAGAAGAAAAGAGGAGAAGAGAAGAATAGATTTGAATTGAGGCATCGATCACTGCTCACCAGTGTCGCCGATCGCCGATCATTGCTCGCCGCCACAGTCTCAGCTCGCTGATCGTCGCTCACTGTCATTCCGGTGAGAAAGAGAGGCAGAGAGAGAGAGTTGAGAGAGAGAGATAGAGTCGTCGAAGGAAGAACCTAGGGCAACAAACGTGAAATGAAAAAATGGGGCGAGACAGAGGGATAAAAAGAGGGAAAAAACATAGGTGAGCGCGGGCAGGTCGGGTACACGAATGGAAATGGCGGATTACCCATGACCCGACCCGAATCCGCAAAATTGGATATTTTGGACCCGTATCCGTCCGCCATAGCTCACGCATCCACCCAAAACAGCACGGGTCGGGCTGGGCCGGGCAGATCTGGCGGGTCGAAGGACCCGTTGCACAGCCCTAATTTATATTAGTCTTCGTATAAAACCTATTTATAATAGGCCTCAAGAATGAGTCCTCAAGTTCATCCAAGTAATAAAAAGTTGTCAACAGAAACAAGGGAATTTATATAAAGAACATAGCAGTTCCATAAATTATACATCTCAAACAGTAATAAGCAATAACCTCTGATTTCAAGTCTTATCTTCACATTTGAGTATTCCGTTGTAAGATTACTGATAATAACATAGAGTTTGTAGATATTTTATAAATGGAAACTTGAAAATGACAGAACATATTGAATTATTATGAGTAAATCCTCACATTCAATTTGCCTCACCCTCATCAGAGAACCACCCAGAGATATGCAGCAGATTCTTCTAGACTATCACAGAGTAGCCAACCCTCAGATTACTTTTATGAATATTGGCATCTAGGCCCATGCAAACTGAAAAGGGGCAAAACATATGTAGACTTTTTCTTCTTAAGCAAGAAAAATCAACACAAAAACAAAACTAAGAGGATTCTCGGCAATCTTAAACCACATGTGATGTAGCTAATCCATCAGGCTGCAATTCAGAATTCCTTGTGAAGGAAGACAAGAAAAATAAAATTCTAATATCTTTGATTAGGGTAAAAACAAATAAACAAAAATCATAGAGGTTACAGTAAGAAAAAGTATTGATCCATTGACATGTATACTTAATGTAGGAATTGAAAATATCCTAAGACGTCTACGCTTCTACAATACAATACATTCATACATTCATATTAATAATCGAACCCGAATCGAGCGAGTAAAGCTTCTTTCCCTCAGCCAGATCCCACAACAAAATAACCCCATCTTTCCCACCACTCGCACACAGCGACCCATTGGGCAACATGGCCACCGTATTCACATACCCAGAATGCCCAGCAAGCAAAGCCCTAATCTTACAATTCTAAAAATTCCAAATCTTCGTAGTCCGATCCCAAGACGAAGACACAATCGTAGGCTGAAGATTATTAGGGCTAAATTGAACACAACTGACCCAATCGGAATGAGCATCACCATCCTGAATCGTGTACTTACACTCACCCAAAGTGTTCCACAGCTTGATCGAGCGGTCTCGGGAAGCAGAGACGATTTGGCGATTATCGAAGGAGAAAGCGACGGAGAGGACATCTTTGGAGTGGCCGACGAAGTGGCGAGCAGTGATGCCAGTGGAGAGGTCCCAGAGGCGGAGAGTGGGCACCGATTGAGAGGAAGAACACAGAGAGGGAGAGGGCGGACTGAGAAACAAAGAGAGAGGGCACCGATTTGATTTGATTTTTTTTTTTTTCTGATTTCATGGTACAAAACAACGTAGTTTTAAAATTAGCGACCAAATTTATTTGTCGCCAAAAAATTTCAATTCCCGCCCCATTAAAAGTCAAATTTCCCTCCCAAACTTTTGGCGACCAAAAGACCATATTAGTCGCAGAAAAGGTACCTTCGTCGACAAAATTTTTTAGTCGCCAAATCTCAATCAACGGCGACTAAAATATTAGTCGCTAAAAGTACTAATTTGGCGACTAATTTTTTTTGGTTGCTGAAAATAAGTTTTTGGCGACCAAATTTTTGGTCGCCAAAAAATATGTGACCTTCCGCGACCAAATTTGTAGTTGGTCGGCAAAAGTATATCACTTTCTGCGACCAACTCATTTTTTGCTCGCCAAAATATAACCTTCTGCGACCAATAATATTTGGTCGCCAAAAATAATGATCATTCGCGACTAATTAATATTTGGTCGCCAAATGTCATTTTTTTGCGACTAAAATTTTTTTGATCGGCAAAAGTGGTCGCAAAATGTGTAAATTCTTGTAGTGAGTTGTAAGTTTTTGTATTAAATATCAAATATCACATCAAAAATTTCCCACTCAATTCAAAACTATTTTCAAAACTCTTTCACCAAACAAATTTTTCACACTTAAATTATAATTCTAAAACTCACAAACTGAAAATATAATTCATACCCTCAAATTATAATTACAAAGTACTACCAAACGCATCCTAAAAATTTCATGAATATATCAGAGATCACTTGTACCACCACTACCCTCTCAATTGAAAAATTATGAGACCCATATAGTCCATATTGCATGACCTCATTGACCTGTCCTAATCACATTGTTGGCACTAGCACTCCTTCCTCAATTCTTATTCTTCAAGCAAAAGACATCACATTGACATATATAATATGGGGCACTCTTTTGTCTCTAGGAAGATCTTCCCATAATGCATGTGCAACTTTAAGCCCCATCTTGGGCTTCCAATGATATATGTTTAGAATGAATTGCATGAAATGATGCAAGGGTGTCTTATTTTGACAACATTAAAATTACTAAAGAGAAAAACCTTAAATCTACCACGAAACACTCTGTAAAATTGTTGAGTATCAATAATCTAATAACGAGGTACGAAATATAACTAAAATGGCATGTACGTAAAATTAATACCTAGAAGAAAAAAAAATCAAATTTAAATGTTTGGTGGGAAATTAAACTTCCTATGAGGTGGGTCATACTCATGATAAATTTAAGGATAAACTATCAATAGATCCTAATAGTTGAGTTTAATTCTTATCAAGTCATATTAAAAATAAACTTGAGTAAAATCGTCGATAAAAATAATTTTTTATAAGCTTTTTTTGCATGTGATTAAAAATTAACAATTACTGACTTTGTTTTGTCACAATTTTTATAAATTAGAACTAAAACTTACAATTAGTAGCATTTTTTTATGACCAAATTTTCAAATTGTTACTGAAAGTTGAAAATTATTATCTTTTTTTGTGATAGTTTTTTAAAACTATCTCTAAAACTTATAATTAATGACTTTTTTATGACAAAATTTTCAAACTATCGCTGAAAATTAACAATTATTGGCGTTTTTTAATAATGCTTGATCAAAATACCATTAATTATCATAGGACCTATTGGATAATAAGTTCACCTATTAAGACTTACACGTAAGTTCTCCTAAATTTAATCAACATATAGTTCAAATTCTGAATATTTTTTGTGTAACATAGCATTGCTTTATAAAAAATATTGTATGTGCTTGTGATATTGTTCAATACCAATCATCAACTACCATTTTCATATTATTTTCTAAAATACCAACATAAAACGTAAGTTGCACGAATCAATCAAATTCAACTTGGTACACAACGTGAATGTCTCTTCAGTCAATGGCCATATCGGGTCCATTAGAAGCTCCATTCTAAAGATTCGATCGGTTAATTTTGTAAGTTTTTATGTGTAGATCGTTCATAAATAAAATAAAAAATATAAAATTGATCTAATAATTGTTACCATATTTTTTTTATTATTTTCTAGTCCAAAAGAAAGAAAGGGAAAAAAAATCAACCCATAGAATAACATAACATAGATCATTCATTTATTTGAAAACAATGTAATGAAAATTTTTGGCTATATTTATCAAATGAATTATTCAAATGAGACCTATAATAGTCCTAATAGACCAACTAGATTGACCGTACACAAATATAATCAATAGAGAAATTGTGTTCTGCGTTCTAGTATCAAAAATATAATTAGGAGAGAAGTTGTCTTCCTATAATAGTATAAAAAATGATAAGAATCATGAAAATTTATGTTGAAATTCATCCCATAAGTGTGTGGTGTAAACTTAAAATTAGTGAGACGTGGGTCACATTCACAATAAAAGTAGACTGTTAATTTTTTATTTTTTTTCTAGATAATTTTTGTTGGTATGTAATATTATTGTTATAGTATTCATGAGTTAGTAGGAAGGAAGATGGTAGAGAAATTCTCTCCAAATACGGAATAATAAAAAATTAACCAATAGGTAACCAATTCTTAATTTCTATGATTTTTGTGTCTACTCACTAGAAGGAAGCCATTGCTCCTTCGTAGTATTTACATGAACCGAAAAAATATAAATAAAAATGCATTCAAAAAAAAAAAAAATTGCAAATCCGGTTTTGTTTTAAAAAATAATTAAATGTTCATGGAGAAGTTTATAAAATTAATAATTAAAATTGGTAAATTTACCATAAATTTGGATTTTTTTTTCAACCATCCATTGAGTGGTTATTTCACCTTCAAATCTAAATTCATTTTATATTTGGTGGGAGGGAGTATACGAAAAATGAATTTAAATTACAGATTAAATTTTAAATTTTTTGTTACACATTTATATGATATTTTACGTGCATCATGAACAATACTGTCAAAAAGAAAAGAAAAGAAAAGAAAAGAAAAAACCAAAATTTAACAAGACACAAAATAAAAAAAAACTGTAATTTTCTTCCATTAATGCCCCTGATAATTAACATCAAAACTCAAAGCAAAAAAGAAAATACAGTTCTTTTTCTTTTGAGGTTGTATAATATATGTTGGATAGGACCTACTACATGAAATATTACACTTCCAAAAAAACTTGCTCATTTAGCATGCAAAAGACAACTTCATCCCCACCCCCACACCTCCCACCTATACATACACACACATATATATATTTATATATATAAGTGGGCGGAAATGAATTTATGGCCAAGGGGAATCTAAATCTACACGGCGGCGACGCTCTCCCCTTTGGCGGAGACGACTTGCGAGGTGGAGGTGGTGGCGGTGGCGGAGGAGGGGCTGGAGGAGGTGGAGGTGGCGGTGGTGGTCAAGGAAAAGGATGGGGATGG